GGGGGGTAGTTAGGCTGAGGGCGGGTAATTAGGCCGGGGGAAGCAGCGAGGCTGGGGTGGGGGAGGTTGTTTCTGGTGGAGTTTTGTGAGCCTGGGGGCATTAGGCCAGGGAAGGCCATTCCCATCCCTGTGAGGGGGCAGTGAGGCCCCGGGGGGAGGGCGATCCTTGTTCGTGTGAGGGGATAATTAGTGAGGGGGTAATTGGCTGAGGGGGGGGTGAAACTCTTTCTCCAAGGAGGCAGTCAGGCTGGGGGTGCAGCTGGACTGAGGAAGGTTTAAGTAGTTCCTCGGATGGGTAGGCTGTGGGGTGGTGTGGCTGGGTCTGAGGTGTTAGTTGTGCTGGGAGGGGATGTAAGGTCGGGAGGGAGGTAAGGCCAGGGAGAGGTTTCCCCTCTGTAGGGGTGAGTGGGTAGATCTGGGGTGGGTTATGGGAGCTGTCCCTGCTGTCCCCCTTGGGGTAGGTTCCTGTCTGTGGGGTTGTCAGCTCAGGAAGAGGTTCCCTGGCCATGGAGATGTGTGAGGACAGAGGGGTGGATGGGAAGGGGGTCCTGCCTGGGGGATGTCAGGGGTATCCCATGCCTGAGGCAGCTTTGGGCTTTTCCCCTACACAGGAAGGGAGAGTGGGGTGCTTTTGGGGTGGGAAGAGGGTCCCTGTCTGCTGAGGGGGTGGGAGAAGGGGCACTGGTGGGTTTCCCAGCCTAAGGCAGCTCTGGGGGTAGGTGTCCCTGTCAGTGAAGGGACAGTATTTCACCTTGAAGGGACATGGGTTGTCCCAAGGCAGGTGTGACAGTCCTGTTGGGGGGTGTGGAGCCCGTCCTAGGCTGGGAGGGTTTATTAGACTCAGCTGCAGACTGAGGAGTAGGACTGATTATAAAGGGTGGGGATTTGGTTCTCCTCTTCCAGCTGGATGTGAGAGCAGCTCCAGGAACAGGCTCCTGAGACTCTGGTTATCACATCAGGATAACAACTTAAACTCCAGGTTAATTCTCCTTAAGAAAAAAAAAGTCTCAATATTAAGTGCTAATTTTGAAAAGCTAATTTTGCCAGCGATAACATTCAGTCTCTTAGATTTTCAGCACAATGCAAAGAGCATCGCGACTGAAGAGGGAGCTCTCCCTCTTGACCACAGAGCCACCTCCGGGCATCACCTGCTGGCAAAATGAAAGCCAGCTAGATGACCTACGAGCACGTACGTACTTCTCTGGTGGGACTTTCCTATGAGTAAGGGCTGCATTCTCTGGGTGCCGTGTGCTTTAGAAGTTGCATGGAAGCGTGGAATTTTAGAAAAATACCTAGGGGTTGTTTTTTGTCTTGTTTTTTCTTTAAACATAGCTTGGCCTACGGCTCAGTCAGTCTAGCTATGATTTTGATTGCCGTGGGGTGGAACTGGTCTCAGATAAGATGACATATTATTTTTTTATTCCTGGATCTGAGCAGTGTTAGAGTTCTGTAACTGTGGGTGGTATGTGGACACTGTTGGACAAATTCAAGTGATTTTGAATGTAATGCTTATGTTTTAATCTTGCTTTTAAAGAAATTTTAGGAGGTGCGGACACACCATATGAGAAAGGAATATTCAACCTGGAAATAGTTGTTCCTGAAAGGTAAGTGGGCAATGACATCTAGTTAAGTAGCTGTTGTAGTGTTTCCTTAAATATAAGTTAACTGATGTAAGATTTTTGCTATAAGTGCTACTGTTGTGGTCTTTCCTTTAGGCTCCCAACAAAGAGCGTGGTTGATTAGGTGATACCCTTCATTTATGGAACGTCATTATTATTTGCATTGGCTGATAGACTTATTTCACATTGGACATCCTAAGATGTGTGATTAACAACCTAAAAGCACTATGACAAGATCTCTACTTTATTATATTGTCTCAAAGCATTCTGGAAAGGAGCGCTTTCATGATTAGGAAGTTTTCTATCGCATTTGCTTCTGTGTGGAAAGCTGCCCAGGAAAGCTGAAAGCATCAGAGGCAGAGCGCTGTTTCCCCCAAAAACATGTGGGGAAGGATGTCGCTTAGTAAATGGCTGGGAGGAGGAAATGATGGCATTGCTTGGGTGAAAAAGCAACTGGTGTACAAATATAAAAACAAATTTTTGTTTCTTAACACTTATCCCTTAAAGGTACCCGTTTGAGCCCCCGAAGATTCGCTTTTTGACCCCTATCTATCATCCTAACATTGACTCTGCTGGAAGGATTTGCCTGGATGTTCTTAAATTACCACCAAAGGTAAGATAGCACTACTTGGGCATGGGTAAGTGAGCCTGAAGAGGATAATGAACTCCTTATCTTTTTCTTGTAAAAGCCTTATTGAATGTCTGTTTGCTACTGACTTATTTACACAGGAGCACAGGAGTAAAGTTTTTGAGCAGTATCTCCTTTGTTTAGAGACTAGAACATGACCTTCTCTGTTCCATATAAGTTTCCAAGGTTTTAAGGGCTGGAGTCAAAAGGCATTAGGTGGCCCCCTGAAAATGGGCTCCCCCAATACTGACCCAGAAGAGCTGCGCAGGGTAGAGCCTGTGGCAGTCGGTCAGGCTTCCTTGGAGAGGCTGCAGCCCATCTGTTGAGAATGGATCTGGTGTTTTCCAGGGCAGTTTCAGTGCTGTAAGTCCTGAGGCAGCTTCTGGGCAAGTTGGGTTTAAATGCTGTAAGTCCTGAGGTTTCTCTAGGCAGCCCACGGGCAGGTTTCTTTCTGCTTAACTGCTTCTCCCATCCTGTTGCCTTGAAGGGTGCGTGGAGACCTTCCTTGAACATCTCCACGCTGCTGACCTCCATACAGCTGTTGATGGCAGAGCCCAACCCTGATGACCCTCTCATGGCAGACATAGTACGTGAGCTCCTCTTCCTCTCTTGTGGCCATGGGCACAGACTGGGAAGGAATAGTGTGTTAGATTTAAGCTCTGCTTCCGCTTCATTCGTTCTGGATTAACATGCTAGCACGTTACATCGCAGCGTAGCCTGATCTGGATCAGGCCTGGGGACGTGACTACATTTCCCTGGGGCGTGTGGTACAGGATTTGTGCCAGCAGTGGAAAAGAGATGGTAAAGGTCTTGCCTTCAGGCCTGCCAGTGCGCATTCTTCAAGCAAACTAAAGCAAGCAAAATGAATTTTATGCTTCATGCCGCGTGCATGTAGTGGGTTTGGAGGACTCTAGGAGTCCTAAAGCCAGACCTTAGTCCCAGCTTCTCATGTGATGTTTGTATGAAATAAATCTGTTTTGCTTATTACATTTAGTCCTCGGAGTACAAGTACAACAAGCAGCTGTTCTTGCTAAATGCCAGAGAGTGGACTGAGAAATACGCAAGCCAGCAGAAGGTAAGAAACGTACTCTGCTTCCTCAGCTTAGTGTAGCTTTGTCTTTGTGAACAGTCTTTTGTGTCACACTCGCTTTGTGCAGCTGTCCTTGGCAGCTTGCTTTCTCTCCTCCCCTTCTGTTCTGTGTTTTGGATGTGTATTTAATTTCATTATACTTTTTTTTAAGATCATTAGATTCGCTCCTTCCAAACAAATGTGTTCATTCACAAATAATTGCAGTGCTTCTCAGGAAGAATGAAGGAGGAGTAAGACTGAAGCCTGGTCAAACCCTTCCCCAGGGATCTTGCAGCCCTGTTTCTCTCTTGGCTTTGTTCCTACCACAACCATGTTCTGCCATGGTTGTGCCTTGTGTTCGGCTACGCCTGTTTTCTGCCTGCTCATCCATTCGCTGACTAGTCTCCCTAACCCCCGGCTGAGCACAGCCTTCCTGCTGTCGCCTTCCCCTTTTCCTGCCTCCATTCTGCACCCTGACTTATCTCACAAAGGAGTCACATAAAAATAAATTGCACTTAAGCAGATCAAAACCTGTCCTCAAAAATCAGTTATGTTTGGGCCTTCTCCCTTACCTGGGTGCTTTCCCTCCCTGCACCTGATTTGGACAAGATGCTTTCCGAGAGGGAGATGTCGTCTACCTGGAAGTCCCAGGAGTGGTGCTTGCTACTCCAGCTCTGAACAGATTTGCAAGTTAATTGTGTGGGTTGTTAAAAGAGCTCAGCGTGAGGAGATCTTTACAGCAGCGTGTTTATCCTCAGAGCAACCTGGCTTATCCACGTATGCACCATTTCTAGGCTCAATTGTTATCCCGCTCTCCTGTCGTTCCCCCTTCCTAAAATTCCCAGCAGTGGGAGCAGGATCACTAAGGGTCACTGCATAAAAGCTGGAAGCACGGTCAGCTCTGATCTTGGAGTGCAGGGTGTTCCGAGGTGTAGGCACACAGCTGAGAACGCACAGCAGTGCCAAGGGCTGTAAGACTGAATTATTCACAGCTGTTACTTTTATTTTTTGTGTTATCACAGGTTTCCAAACCTTTCGAAGAGAAAATAAACCAAAGTGAAACAGGTACCACCAATGATTCTGCTGTGCAGAAGAGAAAAGGGAGTAATATCAGCAAGAAGGAGAAGAAATCTCGCCTGGATTCCTAAGTGGTTTTTGTTCTTGTTGCAGCTGTCACCTTTGTTTTCACTGTCCTCTCTTTACACAGGTATAACTAAATATTTTAAACTATAAGTAGCAGTAGCAGGCTTTGCTTTTCTATTTCCTAAGGGTTTTTTTGTGAAAAGTTCTGTTATATAAGTAAACTATAAAGCTTTAATTTTTATATATATTTCTGTAGTTGTGTGGAAGTTTTGGAATATTCCAAAGAAAAGGAATATTGGAAGTATTGGAGGCCCCTGGATCCCTGGAAATGTTCAAGGCCAGGTTGGATGAGGCTTTGGGCAACATGGTCTGGTGGAGGGTGTCCCTGCCCATGGCAGGGGGTTGGGACTAGATGGGCTGTGAGGTCCCTTCCAACCCAAACCATTCTATGAAGTATTGGTTCAGCTTCTGATTTCCAGCTTTCTCTGAGAGAAAAGGGAACAGCACCAAGTATTTCAGTTTCTATTTTACTGTCCCTGCCTCAGAACAAACTGAAAGCAGAAGCTGAGCAACGGAGACGTAAGGACTAGTTTGTGAACAATCCTTCTCTAGTAAAGGCTTCATTTGCCTTGTAACATCGAGGCTACTAAAGGAAAAGTCAATTGTTAAGACTGAAAACTCTCTAGAGCAGCCTGTTTTAGTCCAGTTGCAGCTTGGACCATGGTGCACAGGGTGGGCAGGACTCCCTGTCACCAGAGCTGTTTAATTTTGTGAAGGCAGATGGCAGTGGCACCAAGTTTGATGCTCAGACTCCTGCTCTATGTGGTTGCCTCTACGGAATTTAACCTGTGTCCCGTTCCTGCTCCCAGAAAAGCAAGCCAGGCCCATCCTTACGTGTCCACTGGGCCAGATGGGAGCAGGCAAGGCTCCTGCCTGCCTGAGGAAATAATCAGTGCTGAGCTACGGAGCCACGCTCTGGTATGGGAGGAAATGGAGAGTGTCCTTGCCTGCCGCTGTTTCCAAAGCCTCCTCTCTACCACACTTCTTCCTGCTCAGTCAAAGTTGTAATAAAGGCAAAAGGCAAAGAACATGGCGAAGATCTGCAATGACAAGGAGTGGGGGGGAGCTGGTTAGCGAACCCTCCCCAGACCTTTAACCTGGCTCATCTGCAGTGGGAGGTCGGCTTTATACCCCCAGACAGACCCACTGTCCATCCACCTGCTTTCTGGGTGGGATCGTGAGTGCTAGAGGCGTGGGAGGGCCCCTTCACACACAGAGCACCCTCCTGGCAAAAAGCGAGCCTGTGGAAGGTGACCTGCTGCCTGCCCTGTCCCTTCCCATCCTCAGTACCTCGATGCCCAGCACGGCCAAGCTGCAGGTCCCAGGGACAGAGATGTATTTCTGCAAGGTCCTGCCGAAGGTGGAGAAGCAGCCCTGGGGGCAGAGAGAGGATGGGGGCGTTCGCTTGCATTCCCCACAGCTGCAGGGAGCTTGGAGGGTGACTTGGGGTGTTAGGAGGCACTGTGGTGGGGCTGGAAGAGGTGAGGATTTGGAGAGGTGCTGGGCTGTGGAACCACAAGCAGTGCCCCAGGCTGCTGTCCCTCCCCAGGGCCAGAGGGTGCTGCAGAGGCTGGGGACAGGGACAGGGCAGGGTTGTGTCCTACCTGCTCGTGGATGTAGCCGGGGCTCCTCTCCCGGCACTGCTCCCAGCCCAGCAGCTCACCCGCCTGCAGGAGCCCGTCCCGGGCACAGCATGCCTGGGGCCACGGTGTCTCTGGATGCAGCTCCTGAAAACGGGAGCCATTCCCAAAGTCTTCGGGTCCTAAAACGCCACAACATGAGAACTGAAAGGGAAGGGGAACACTATCAATGTGCTGTCAAAGCAGAGGGATGTTGCTCGGGGAGGTTATGAAGGGAGTGGGAACAGCCCAGCATGGTGCTCAGTGTCTGGGGTACGAGACCCTTGTCTGCGTTCAGGGTCACCCTCAGCAGGTCCTGTGGGTGCTCCACACCCTGCTGCAGCCCACCAGGAACCTCCTGGCTGCTCACCGTGACCATGAGGGTGTTCCAGGCAGTGGAGAAGACCTCAGCACTCTCGTCCCCACGGTAGTTCCTCTGCAGCTCAGACAGGAACTGCTCTGGCTGGATCTGCGGGACCGGTGCTGTCTGTGAGCAGTGGGGGCTGCACACCCACCCTAACCCACCCCTGCCCGGCGCCACCCTGGGATGCCAGCTCTCTTTGAAGGGACATGGGGACCCACCCACCTGGTTTCAGGCTTGTGTCAGGGTGCTGGTGATGAAGATGAGGGTGAGAAGGGATGTCCCCGCACCAGTCCCAGTCACCTGGGGGACTCAGGGCTGTGACCCATGGCATGACAGAGGGAGGGGAGGGGCTGGCTGTGCGGGGATGGTACCTGTTTCCAGTGCACCAGGAAGAGAATGGCCCCAACAAGCTGCGTGAGGAAGACGATGCACACTAGGATGAAGAACTGGAAGGCAGCAGGATGGAGGAGTCAGAGACCAGCCCAAGCCTGCTCCGGCTATTCCTCCCCGCTTCAGCCAGCCCTGCCTGTGCCCCTGAGGCTGGGCAGTGGGGGGGACACAGGGGAGGAGCGTGCAGCTCCTGGGAACAGACACCACATCTCCAAGCACCCTGGCCGCAAGGCAGAGGGTTAAAAACAAGAACCCGCTGGCAGGGTCTGGGGATGCCAAAGAAATTGGGGTGTTGGTGCTCGGAAAGGGGTTTCTAACCCTCACTATTGAGAGGAAAAGCTCAGAAATGCCACATGGGACAAGGCAGCTGCTTCAGAGAGGTGACCCCACTCAGTGGGCTCTAAACTGAAAGACTCACAAGGTGGGGTCGTGACTGGGGGGTGTTGAGAGTTGACAGGGCCAGGATGGGGAACACCAGGCTTCTGGCTCCTCTGGGAACACCCCACAGCCCCCAACACCCTCCATCCACTGCCTTCCCCCATACCCG